GTTTTTCTTAAAGATTAGAACGTCAAATTTGGCAGATGTTTAGGTGGTGCCTTCTTGGGGGCAACTAAGATCCATCCATAAATCTTGCTGTGTTAGCTGTGATTGCCTTTGACTTCCCATAACTTCATGTAAAAAATTCTCTAATTTGGCATACATCCATGTATGGTTTATAATCCAATCATTTCCTTCTTCTTTTCATTGTGCATAGATTCGTAGTATGGGAGAATTAAATGTAGAATTCAACTATTTCATTTGTTTTCATTTTCGATCAATATTAATTATTTGTAACTAATGAGAAATTGTCGAATCAGTTTGTGTTTGATTTCCCTTTTTATACAATCGATATTGAGGAGGGATGAGGGAGTTTCTTACACACACTACCAAAGTGACATTAAAGTTTGAATATGAGATCATTGATTTATAAGTCAATGTCTTTTTTCGTTGGCGTGTTTGAAATTTATTAGTACAGTAAGTTAGTATGGATTTGCAGACATATGTGGGCCTCACATCACTATTGTGAAAAATGTGAATTTCCTTTTTCATTATGAGTTTGTGCAATTAGTCTAGAACATTAGTCTGATTTTGGTTTTGGTTGGTTTATTTCCAAATGGATGATTTTGGAATAATGTAAAATTCATATACCATAGTTTATTAGCCATTGTTTGGCGTTTTGCTTTGAGAGAAACACAGGGGGAGGTGGGTTGATATGATAAGATTGAAGGTGACAATAGTCCCACTTTTGACATAATTTAATGCACAAATTACATAACTACCCAGTAAAGATCCATCAAATCCGATGGCTGTTAAAGTTTTCAATTTATTGGGACCCACGGTGAGGACTCCCACTTCGGTCCACTGATGTCCATCTGGATGATAACATTCAAAAATGTTCAATCTTGCTGCAAAAGTTATCATGTGTCTAATTTGATGAACATCCAACGGTCAAGACAAAATGTATAAAACGTGCAACTAAAATGGTATGTTTTCTATTAACGGATAGGATTTCATGCATCAAAAGAGCTTACAAGCTTACAAATTTCCTAAACAGTTGAATGATTTGGAATCTGGTTACGGAATTTAGTCTTTTTTTTTTCTTCTGTTAATCAAAATAGCAAGTGAAAATATAGCCATATTTCTTACACTAAACATATGTTCTTTTGTTTTAGACAAAGACTGAATCCATTAATCACCCAAGAATATTTCAAAGTAATCGGCATGTTAATAGTGACCTCCTTAAAATCTTGGGAGTTTCACTAAAACACCCAAAATGGAGGTTGAAATTATAAAAAAACCCAATACCCAAAACACTTTATAAACACACCCAAAACCCATCATTATACACACTCAAAACTCATTTATAAACACACCCAAAAAGTTGACTTTTGGGTTAATTTTGGGTGTGTTTCTATGTTTAAATAGTGCTTGGGTTTTTTTATAAATACATGTCTAGGATTGGGTTTATTTATAAATTTGTATAAAATATTCTCATAGAAAAAACTCTGAGGTAGGAAAGAGTACCACACATACTACAAACTAATAAAATAGAAGAGTCAAAATCAAGAATACAAAATTGGACAACTATCTTTAAGTCAATTCTAGCACACCATCAACAATAAACTTAAACAAACCCATCTGGAAGAAAACTCCAATGCTTCTTATGTACTGTCAAAGAAGACCTCCTATCTATGATATTAGAATCATTGTCCTTAATCTTATATGCATGTAACAAGTCGTTCTTAGTGGATTCAAAAAAATTTCTTCGTGGGTTCAGAGAATATTGAGTGAGATTCATCGCCTCAGAGCCTTTTTAAATTAGACCCAAAAAAAAAAAGAAAAGGATAATGCATGTTTTTACTTGTAATAATGAACAATATTTTATCTTTTTTCACTTACTACATTATTCCAACTTAAAATGTATCACTTTCCCACCCTACCCTACTACCATTTTATATACATAGCATACTTTTTGTTATGGCATAATAAAATACAACTTAATAACTATATGATTAAATGAGTATTGCTAATGTATACAGTTAGTCTGTTCTCTCAAACTATAAAGGTCCAAGAGATTTGTGGTCGACGGTTCACTATTTCTTACACTCCTTTTAAGAAACTTTTTTAAACCATTGGATTAATATCAAACGGTGGATGACCACAATCTCTTGAACTCCTTTAGTCCAAGAGATCGGGCATGTATATACAGTTCATATAAAATTTTCAAATATTTTATGGTACGACTGTACGATGTAATTGAACAAAATAAGTTAGCAATATTTAAAATTCAAATATTTATATGCAAAGGATTTTAACTTCTCATGTTATGTGAAAGTTCAATGATATATTAAAACATAAAAACTAATTTGATGCGAAGATCATATGTACATGAGAGAACACGTAATGCAAAAATAATTTTAATGTTTTCGTTTGTCTAATTTGAAGATAATTTATTTGTGAGCAAAGCATATGTGAGTTAAGTCAATTAGCTAAGACACTCTCTAATATTAGAATAGTTTAGAATATCACTGTTATTATAAATAAATATAAAACAAATATTTGTGGAACTTTCTTGTCTAATTATAAACTTAATCAAAAAATTTGGGGGACAATGACTGTCAAACATCCAAAATTTGTACTTTCAATGTATAAATAGTATTGATTAGCTACTTGATTAATTTCTAATATGATTATAATATTCATTTATATAACATTTAGTCCACAAAGTTATGGCCTACAAGGCTAATTGATAATTATGGTGTATCATATAATTGACTCACGGGCTCCACAAACCATTCATCAAAATCAATATGAAACCAATGAAATATAAAATGCATCTAGTTCGACTTAAAGTTCTACCAACAAAATAAAATATATTAATTTTAAATATGTTAGCATGCGCAAGACGTTATTCCAAGAGTCTTACAAAGTGAGCCAATGAGTTCAAAACATAAACGTCCTCTTGCTATAAGGTATATATGCATAGTTGATTCGAACCTAAATTTTCAATTTAATATGTGATATAAAACATAAACGTCCTCGAGCGCTTTCAAAAGCACTCTCAAACATGTTCATGTATTATAAGAATAGTATATTCTCTCATTTCGTTTCAAAATTAGTTTATGTATAAACTTTTTTATATGTTTTATAGTAATTACTCCATAATAAATCTTCACAGCATCTTTAAAAAATTATTAATTGGATATTTATTCATATATTTTGTTCATTGAATAGGTCAAGAATTACAACTAGCACAATTAATTTAGTACGGACACTGTTCCTCCTTCCGTGTAAGGAGGCATTCATACTTCATACAAATCACTGTTTGATATATATGTAAAAACAATGCATCAAAAATAAAAATACAAATAAAAATATCTACACACATGTCAAACTATAATTGACAGAAAGTAATAGCTCCAACTTCCACAAAGGAAGGTGAGTATAAATAATAAATATCGTATAGAAAAAAATACAAAGAATAAGTCAAGAATTAGAAAGGTGTGTCATCCCCAAGGACCCACTAGGTGGACTTTCTTGGAAAATTCCTTTTTCACTGTCTTCATTTTTAGAGTCTTAGATTTTATTATTCTTAGTCTTGGCTTGGGGTCTTTGGCCAACTTGCAATTCAAGGCATTACAAATTAAAGATAATAATCTCAATATTGCTGGTATTCATCGTATAATTAGCTGTGAGCCCTTGCCAAAAAAAAAAAAAAATTATTATTTTTAAATATTTCGTTAAATATAATAATGACCCATTTGGGCTAACATACTAAAATTTTATAATTATTGAAACATTTTAAAACGCGACGTTCCGTATTTTTCTTACTAGTTCTCTTGCCGGATAGTTTGACACAGTACAATATTAGATTATTAATTAAATTTTTATAATAAAACATGTCATATTATTAAACGGTGAAATAAAATCATTAAATTAATTAAGTGTTATTTTGTCTATATTTCTAGAATAAGTGATATTTTGTTTGAATATCCGATCATGATTGACCATCCAACGTAAGACTAAAGCAACACAAGTTGGTCAAGAAAACAGACATTTCTCGATCATTCTATAATACAACATACTCTAGATATTTATGCATGCGAACCCAAATAGATATTTATGAAACAACAAAACAAATTTACAGTCTCACTTGAACAAACATAGCTGTCACGTCGAAAAATAAATGACAATACTGAAAAAGAGGACAGTCTAAAAGCAACAATTTAATTTAATTTAATTTATTTTTCTTGCTAGTTGGGCAGGAGAGGTACATTAATATTTTTGGAATTGTACCAACTGCATTATATTTTGTCTTTAGAAAAATTTAGATTAGACACACATATTCCACATGGGCCAACACGCAAACGTGTGAAGCTGATGGGACCGTCGCCGACGTGGATTATGTGGAATTTTAACTCCCTCGTTAAGTTGACATTCTAGAGGAATATCATGGAATGGAAATGTACATTTCACAACTAAAATATATCAACTTTTAAGCTTAATTTAACTGCAATTACTCAAGTGTTAGCGATATAACCTTTATCCCTGTAGGTGGTTAGTACTAGACCGGATACGATCGAGACTAACTGTCTGTCCCATGTGGGGAAGGGAGGAATCGAACATAGGATTTTGGATGCATGATATAAATGCTCTTAACCACTTGAACAAGTCCCTTGTATCAACTCATACATTTTTATTAGAACAATTGAATTGAATTCTCCACATCATCCTTTTATTTGGAAGTCAAATTTTTCCTTCATGTGAGTTGTAATTTTATGATCTTAAAAAAACATTGAATTGAATTATATTGCATAGGCTTCGCAATGGGATTGAAGTAAAACAAGTAAAAGGTCGCGGTCATGAGTTTATGGTGTGAATTTTGATGCATGCCAAGTTGCAATACGTACTCACGTATTTATTAAGCCTAATATGGGCCTATTTGGTAATTAACATCACACCACGGCCCACAAGCATATAGTAAAACCACCAAACACAACTAATAATGAAGCCCACAGAAAAAAATAACTGCTCATAACGAGCCCAATGGCATGATGCTGCTGATCCAACTTAGCTCTACAATATGAAAGAAGGGAACAAGATCTTGTCAACATATGAAACAAATTTCCTCGACAGACAAAGAAAAAAGAATGCCAAATGATCATCCGTGTGCGCACACACAAATCACTTGAGAAGGGTTCTGGTTAGATGTTCCCTTGCTGTAGCCCATGCTTGTGTTATGGTCTGCATTTTAGTAAAGGAGACAGGATTAGATTAATATATGATTTCGTAAAAATTGGGTTCTGCTTCCTGAGATTTATAGTCTTAAAGATTTGATGATAGTACAAAAGCAAGCAATCAACACCTCTTCTTCTTTGACTAATGTATGAAAATTATTTTGTTTGGTTTGAACTGAAGGCAAGCAAATGAAGAGTTTGCAGTACCTGCTCAGACAAGGGTGCATCGGCATCCATGGTATGAGTTGCCACCTTTCCTGCAATAATACTCGGATCGGTTTCAAGTACCATCCTGCATATAAATTAACGGAATAATTATATGATCAAACCCTTATTTGACCGAAATAAGATTGAGGGTGAAACCCCACAGTGAGCAACTTGGGGTGGTGTTGGACAAAAAGCTCCAGAGGGGGAATGATATAGTGGTAGATGTAGTGGATTGTATTGTCAGAAATTACAGTTTAAGAACAAGGATAATAGATGGTTCATTATGTTAAAATGAAATTTACCACAGTGTGTTCGCCCCCACCTCCACTCCACACAACACACAGACACACTTATCTATGTGACTTTGCCAAATACTCATCATTGAAAGATTGTAATGAACTTTGCAGATGTTAATAGGCCCACGGATGTAGAGTGTGAGAATTTAAGAAGCATAGTGCTTACCCCCCATCAACAATCTCATCAAAGCATAGAAGAATAAGATCCAGATTCTCTAGTGCCTCCCTTTTGTCGACATTGTTCCTACAAGAAGGACATGTAAGAATGTATATAGCAAAGGTCTGAAAGTAGGTAATCATCAAAATACAAAAGAACTCAAGAAGAAGCTTATGACCAAGACTACCTCAAGAGAAGGGCAACTGCATCAAAGAACCCCTGAAGGACTGTGGCTAAAATGAGTTCGTTTTCATCGTCACCCCCAGTCACAAAGAAGTGGAGGTCCTGTATGAACTTATATATAATGACATTGCTGTCAAACATCATTATCTCCGCTGCAGGTGACAGAATAGGAAATTATGAACACTGAACTCTGGTGATAAAATACAATTTCTGTAGCACATTGATGAAGATTTTTTCACTAGACAGACTCTATATGTACGACAATCACATTTGTTCTGCATACCTTCTATCCGAGCATTTGTCTTCAGAGTCTTGGTGAAAATAGATTTTTCAAAAGCTAACTTTGCACCATTTGTTGGCCAATCATCCGAGAAATACTTGACGGCTACACGCTTGCCTTCAGAATCTAGAAGAAGAATGTTCTTCACAGATGGGCATGAATCCTAGACGAAATAAAGAAAAACGTGTATTAATTGAATAGAACATCCATATAATTCTGGCGTAAAGATTACTACCCTATTCAAGGATTAGCTTTATGGATCAATGTAGTATCCATCCTAAGTTCTCTTTCCATCACAGGTTTCTTTCATCAACGTTAATATCCTAGCTAACTAGTAGGCTTGAGGAGCAAACCTGCAAACGCCGACTAAGAACAACTTGCATATGAAGATCTAAGCCCTATAACTTTCATGCATAAAAATGCCACCTTACATATTCTGCCAAAAGTCTATAGGGTCTAAGCAAAATGCAAACGCATCTTTAGGTGATTCTTATCATTTGAAAATTCCTATCTAATTTATAACAACATGATGTATCCTTGGATCTCAATTAACCACGTTAAGTTTTTTAAGATAAGAATTTAACAACATTTTTCACAAACCCAACATGAAAATATTTCCTAACAGTTTCCCAGTTCATTCCAAATCAGTTAAAATCACAAGTCACCAAAACTTTTACATTCTATAAATTGTTGAAACCTTTGTTGAGTTCATGTATTAACTATCCAGCTTGTCACACACCATTTTTGTGTAATATACACAAAGATCTAATAAATTGGAAAACCCACAAACGCACTTGATGTGACATCGAAAAAAACAAATAGAATCCGTATATGCTCACGAACTGTTTGGTTCCCAAGAAAATGGAAAAGAAAAAGATCTAACTGAATGTTCCATTCTTTTACAATCTCCAAATCCCCACAAAACAGTTCCCAATTAATACAAACAAAGAAATCGTTAACCGTAGAGACAATTAGATTAAATTTAACACGTTTTCTCAGAATTTCACGGATCTTGTATAACAATCGCTCTGAAACCCAGAAACGATCTTATCGAAAATAGGAATCATGGAAATTCAACACCTCTGAGAGAGAGAGGAAGAGAGAGAAAGAGAGACTTACACGATAGCAGAAGAGGCTGGCCATCTTCACGTAATGTGGAAAACAGAGAGCTTTGGCTTTGCAGTGCAGAGTTCTGTGTAAACGTTTGAAGGTTGGTACTCGGAACCTTTTCTTTAGAGGGAAGGAGGTGGGCAATTTCGTCATTGTGGCTGAACTTTTAGAGGGTGTGGACTTAAACCATGAAACGACATGTCGTCTGGAAAAAAGACTTTTTTTTGCTTGCCTAATTGTTAGTTTTTGACAAAAAACTATTTGTTGTCAGTTTTTATTTTTCCCAACTACGTTTGGTGGCTAAGCTTAAACTGGAATATTTCAATCGAATTGAGTTAATGTTATGGCCACTATTGGGTAAACTTATAGATGTTGTGAACAATCCAATATATTGTGTCTTATAAGTATCGTTTAGAAGAGTGAGACTTATAAAGGCTTGTTGGTATAAAGTGGCTCGATAAAAATTATGATATATAAGTTCACATCGAAAAATACAACAATAATTTACAGTTTAAATATAAGTAGTTCACTCCTAATTGTACTGAGACCGTTTAAGTTAAAATCTCATTGGGCCTAACCTAACCCAAGGATTTTGAACTTGGGTGGTTGAGGTGGGGATAACAACTCCTATTGGGCCCATTGCTACAACAACAGGTATCCGAACCATTTGGTTCAACGCACTTGGTTCTCATATTAGGATTTTGATTTAGCATTTAAATTACTCACATTGCACTGTTAAAGTTGAAAAAAGAGAAGATCAAAACATATCTAATTTAGTGAAGGGATATAGAGTTAACTAGCAATTTGATTTTTGTACAATGGAATGATCAACTGACTACATAAAGCTCAGAGAGAAACAGAAGCCAAGTATATTCAAATGTCCATGGCATTTTTCATGGGCTGTAAAATGTAGGGCCACACTTGCATTTCCAACTCTCAGGCTCATAATTTGCATATTGAACCCCCAAATGGCTGTGCTTTTTGGTGGTGGTAGGCACCTGAATAGCTTCACATGGAGTACATCCATAACACTTGTGGTCACAGCTGGGAGGGCTTGATCCTATTTTGCCGATCCCTCTGTAGTTTGCTATTGCAGCCATCTTTGTCACTCCATTGTTGGTGTTTAAACCCTTCAAAGAGAGAACAATTTCAATAACATAACATTGCACTAAGCAAACACAGAGAGAGAGAGAGAGAGAGAGAGAGAGAGAGACCTCTTGTAAGGTAACTTGTAAAGACTCTGGGTTCTGGCCTGGGGCTGATCAAGCATTAATATTTAGTACAAGTTAGCAGAGAAAATGAGCCCAACCAAAAAGTACGAGAGAAACAGTAAAGGTGCTGATATGTGATGAAAACCCAAAAGAAGCTTTTCACTGAGAATGGCTTTGAAAAGCTAAGAAGTTTTTCTAGGAAAAAGGCTTTCAGTTGTCCACTTTCTGAATCCTAAAGCCAAAACAGATTCTATTTCTTTTCAATCCTCCAAAAAGAAGGGAAGAAAAAACAAGAAAAAATGATTTTGATTTGTGTAAGGTGTTAGTGAAAGTGTGTTCCTAGAGAAACTGCATAAAGTTGGTCTACTGGTATAGGCAAGCATCCATCTACGTGTGGGGAATGTCAAAAACAGAAATATGCCAAAGACATGTTGCAAATGAAGCTTTCCACATGAACAAGTTGCAAGAAAAACATTCTACAATGGAAATAAGTAAAAAGCATCAGACAACTGAACCAACTAAGTTGATCATAAGCTCACTTTTTACGCTAATGATTGAAAAGGGCAAGTAATTAACCTTCTTGATGAACACCAACACCATCATTTGGAGGAAAAGGCCTACTTGTTGCAGAAACCCAACACAGGATTTGCAGAGCCATTACAAAGCAATAACTTCTCTTCATTGCTTCAAGCTAAAAATGATTACTGTGATTATGGTGACTATGATTAGAGGCGAAGAGGGAGAGAGAGAGAGAGAGAGAGAGAGAGAGAGATTGGAATCACTCACAAACACAAGATGTCATGCACAACTGATGGGATATATAAGAAGGTGAAAAAAACGCCTAGAGTACAAATTCCTATCCCCAAAAAGCTAGACTCAAAACCTCTAAAACTTTCTTGGTTTTCTCTATAGTCTATCTTGCCTTGGTATAGAGATTTTTTTGCTTCAGAAGCAAGTGATTCTGGGGTTTCTTGTCAAATTGTTCAAAATACACTAACAAGTTTCCACCACATTTGACAACTCACTTCAAGGCTAAAGGAAGTTGCTGATTTCTTACTCTTTAACACAAACCAACCTCTCTCTCTCTCTCTCTCTCAAATCAATCCAACAGAGTAGAACTAAATGAGCTGGTCCCCAGGCCCAAAATAACAGCTCCCTCTTTTGGGGTCTGAAAATTTGCTAGCCTCTGTATATCTCTGCATTCAGACAAATCTTAGCCTCTTTAGCTCCCTAGCTTGCACAGCTATTTTTCTGCCCTAAATTTTTTTAAATATATTATTTGAATTCCTTTAAAAGGGAATATGTAATCCAGATCCCAGTGTCAGTGGCAGAAGCCATCGTATAGAGAAAGAAGGGAGAAGGAGAAAGCATCAATGTCTGAGACATTCAGCCAGCAGCAGAAAAATTTAATGAGTTAGTTAATACATTAATAAACAAGATACTTGGGTCAACTTTTTACAGGTTGGTAGGTGGGGAGCACCCAGGCTTTGTACCTCCATCCATTCTGAGCCCTCCATTTGGACCTTCATCAGCATAGCATTTAAGAATTCGGGTGACCTTGATTGTCTTAAAGGTACCTCCAGAATCCCAGATGATCGCATTAACACGTTAGCAACATTATCTTTGTTGTTGTTTTGTTTACTTTTGCCTCTCTCTCTCTCTCTCTCTCTCTCTCTCTCTCTCCCTTTTCTTTTGCCTCTCTCTCTCTCTCTCTCTCTCTCTCTCTCTCTCTCTCTCTTAATTTTTTATGCATGCAATGGATGTAACAATGTGCAGTGGAAAAGCTATTTATTAGGAAGTTAATAGGCATTGTTGTACCGTACTAATGGCTAATTTGAGTATGGATTTGTTGCAAATACTTTTGCCTAAATGGGATTTATTTGGTCAGTAGGGACGTCATAAACAAAATATTAGTCATACATTAGAATGGACATGAAAAGGAAAGACTGGTAGGCACAGCAGAGGCCAACTTCAAAAGCACCCCTACATATATACATGCATATATGCTATAGATGGCCTAGGATTACCCAGTGAAGCCTATATATTGTATGAGACTTGAGTTTTCAATGTGTTGAGTATACCCATTGAAGCCTATATATTGTATGAGACTTGATTTTTCAATGTGTTGAGTATACCCAGTGAAGCCTATATATATGTATGTATCTCTATCTCTCTCTGTCTCTCTCTCTCTGTGTCTTTCTCTCTCTTCCACCTGAAACTACAACAAGAGTGTGGAAGGAGGTATTGATTCATTTATTGTCCTTCAAAAGGAATTACACCAGCTGGTGCACACACATGATAACCCCCACCAAACACACAGGCCAGGGTTTTATTTCTTGCTAATATGGTCATTTTCAGACCTCCTCACTGAACACCAACTTGTTCATGCAAATTACTGAATGGTGTAAATCTGATTACATTTTCAAAAGAAAAATCAATGGGTTTTCCATAAACCATCAACCAAGTACAAAATGATAATCATTCTCAATATGTCTCCTAAAGACAAAGCTCAGAATATCCCAACCCTCTAGCAGAAGAAGTAAACTTCCCTGAAGAATTTGAACAAATTTAAAATAAAGATCCATGGGAGAAAGAAGATTCAAGTATAATTATGTAAAAAAAAAATTTGAAGATAAAGATTAATATTTATAAAACTGTATTCCTTGAAGGAAATACATCAAATGTGCAACATCCTAGTTGTGAAGCTTCTTGGTCAAACCACAATTTCTAGTTTTGCACACCTGACAACTGAGAGTTTATGCATCCATAAACCTGGGCAATCCACTTGTGGTTTCATGAGTAAAACCAAGATCATTCAACATTTTAGCCTTTCAACACTATCATTCATAAGCCCATCAAGTGAGTGTCCAAGGATAGTTTAAAGAATATATTGATCCACTGTTTTTCCACTGAATATTCCCATAAAATAATTCACTTTCTACAAGAGTTTAGAGCAGAAAAGATTGGGTAATTATATTCACATAACAATAAGGTTAGCAGCGCTATAAACGGCGATCTACTGGGAAATTAGAATCTGATTTGCTTCAAGGGATTGTTGAGTAAGTTAATCTCAAGTCTCAACTATAGTGAGCAGAAACTGCATAAAGCAGTTATATGCATATCAGGTTAGTGATATCAACTTATGTGTTAAAATACAAAACAAGGATGCTACAAGCCTACAACAATTTTCCCCTTCTCCAACACACAAGAAATGCCAAATGGAAATCAACATATATACGGTAGATGTAACTACCATTGTCATGGTTTTATTTAGCATCTACAATTGGGGTGTTTATGGCCACCCTCGAGATATAAAATCGAAATTTATGTCTTGTAAACAATATAATCAAAGAATACCACATCATAATCATTTTTGAGGAATCATGAGAGAAATAACACAAAGATTGACAATACAATATTAGATTTGTCCCAGTTACTCCAAATGAGAGCAAAACTTGTGAAGCATGCTTACAACTGAGGCTCAACCAACCTCTCACTTAGGAGATGAGTCATGACTGCTGGATTCTTTCTTAGGATGAATTGCCTCAACAATGGCTTCGACTTCTTCCTTAATTCGTTCAAACACACCCGGGCCCTTGACTTCATCTACTGGGGTGGTTTCATCTATGTCATCACTCGTTCCATGCGTTTCTTTGTGATGTTCTGGTGATTTATCAGCATGATGTCCTAGTGATTTCTCTGCCGTATCAAAATACATAAAGAGATAAATCTATAATTTAAAGGAGATTTCGCTAATAGAAATTCAATTTCCATATATTCTTTTTTTAACTAAATAAACACTACCCACCTAATAAAAATATCAACTTTACATAAAACCCATCACCAAAATTAAAATTTTCAGAAGATTAATGGACTTATCCTTGACATAATTTCAGAAATATAAAACTCTACCCAGAAAAAGAAACAAGAAAAAAAAGAGGACAAAAATATGCAAGAACTAAAAAGTGCAGAT